AATGTCCATTACTTGCGCCGCTCTGTGATACATTTCTTCTGCCTCCATATCCTCATTCGCTTCTGATTTATTAGCTCTTCTCCCTCTTTGAGGCATTTTAATAGTTGTAGAGTTTGTTCGAAGACTTGAAAGTGAAACTGTCCTCTTTGCAGAAAAGCACCCCCAAAGCATGATGTTTCCACCCCCATGCTTCATGGTTGGGATGGTGTTCTTGGGATTGTACTCATCCTTCTTCTTCCTCCAAACACAGCGAGTGGTGTTTATACTAAAAAGTTCTATTTTGGTGTCATCTGACCACATGACCTTCTCCCATGCCTCCTAGGGATCATCCAGATGGTCTTTGGCAAACTTCAGACCGGCCTGGACATGTGCGCTGCAGGATTTTAAGCCATGATGGTGTAGTGTGTTACTAATGGTAACCGTTGAGACTGCGGTCTCAGCTCTCTTCAAGTCATTGACCAGGTCCTCTCATGTAGTTCTAGGCTGATCCCTCACCTTTCTCAGGATCATTGACACTCCACGAGGCGAGATCTTGCATGGAGCCCCAGTCCGAGGGAGATTGACAGCCATCTTGAATTTCTTCCATTTTCTAATAATTGCGCCAACAGTTGTTGCCTTCTCACCAAGATGTTTGCCTATTGTCCTGTAGCCCATCCCAGTCTTGTGCAGGTCTACAATTTTGTCCCTAGTGTCCTTAGACAGCTCTTTGGTCTTTCCCATAGTGGAGAAGTTGGAGTCTGATAGATTGAGTGTGTGGACAGGTGTCTTTTATACAGGTAACGAGTTCAAACAGGTGCAATTAATACAGGCAATGAGTGGAAGATAGGAGGGCTTCTTAAAGACAAACTAACAGGTCTGTGAGAGCCAGAATTCTTGCTGGTTGGTAGGTGATCAAATACTTATTTCATGCAATAAAATGGAAATACATTATTCAAAAATCAACAATGTGATTTACTGGAATTTTTTGTAGATTCTATCTCTCACAGTTGAGGTGTACCTACGATGAAAATTACAGAACTGTCCATTCTTTGTAAGTAGGAAAACTTGGAAAATTGGCAGTGTATCAAATAGTTATTTGCCCCACTGTATGTATTAGGCATATTAATGTAGAGTAAGACAACCAAGAAGTCAACTGGCAAAGTCATTTTCACAACTTGTTTTCTGAATATACAGAAAACACAGATCAATTGTCTTCAACAACTGATGCTGCTGGTGGTAGCAGTAACAAATATCAAATAAAAATGACTACATAATATCAGAGATGAATTGCTTAGCTCAACTTTCAAGGCAATGCAAGTTAATTTTCATGCCTTGCAACCTGTTGTGCCCCAACTTCTAAGTTTATTTTAACAGAAAATTAATGACATATACATTTTTGAGAAGATGAGAAGGTTCCTTGATTGTTGTTTTACAGCAGGGAGAAATATGAGTATACCAAAGTTTTAGAAACATGAGATGTTAGTGCTGAATCTGCTCCGTGATCTCAAGGGAATTTCTACTGAAATCCTCAGAGGGAACCTGGAAGAGGTTTCTTACATATTGCTTAATACCCAAACAGCCTTATGCAAAATTCTACATATTAGAACCCTGAAAACACATGTATACCAAAAACACATACACGTTACAGTGCTGTTCTGTGACATCTAATGTCCCTCAATAGTCACTTCACTGTGCCAAAGATACAAACATGGGCCACAAGAAACTCATTTTCTTTAAGGTTACAAATAACCTGGACCTTTATAACTTGTCAATAACTGCCCATGAAGCCCTGGAGACATATTTGTGTGACAGCCACAGTAAAGGAAAATATTTAAGAGCTACTTTGCAGGTTCAGCTCCTTGTTCTTCTGGCTTTTCTTGCCTGTGCTGACAAGGGCCACTGACAGGTCATAAAGGGAAAGACTCTGTGTTCACCAAAAAGCATTTTTTTGTTGCAAAGTTCCCATATTTGACATAATATTTGTGTGCATGGGCTCTCTGTAATTTAAGTGTCTGTTAAGGCAACTGTTTAACTGGCTCATCTTACAGTGTGCTTTGTCACCAACCTGGAAACCTGTTTTAAAGCAGCCAAGGTGGTTTGGATTACACAGAATACAAATGTAAAGTTAGCAATTATCAAATGCCGTCAGTAACAAGCCACATCAATTAAAACTGTGGTGTAACTGTGGTGTGTGACCTAGCACTTTAACAGAAAAAGCACCTAAAAAGAGGAAATACATTTACAGCTAATTAGATTGCTCCTCTCAAAAAAAAAACAATTAAAAACAAGCTCAGGGCCACGCATCAGATATAAAAGTTTGGAAAAAAAAACTCCTTGATCATCACTTCACTTATAACATCTCTGCTTTACTGGCTGCATTTTTAACTCCGGGAATGAAATCAAAACGTGCATGGAAGCCTCATCAGCCTGCCACCCCAAATAATACCAGTAAGGCCCATCAGGGAGCCATAAAGTGTTTACTGAGTTACACTGCTGACAGATTAATGGCACTTATTCACTAAAATTCAACTAGGGGAAGGGCAGGATAAGAAGTCTATAGGTCACTGAAACTTCCCAACACACAAAACTCAAACTGTCATTAGAATGGCTTAATAAAAGCCTAGATGTGGTAAAGGTTACTGAAGAATAACTGCTGAATCACTGTTACACTGGCTTTTGTAACATCGCAAAACAGACTGTGCAGTCATGTAGACTGTAGTGACTCAGTCTGAACTGTTCTTACTGTAACTTCTTATTCAGAGCAGCGATAAATGACCTTGTGCATACTCACAGTCCATTTACAGAAACTGGTGGAGTAAGAAGCAATTAAGCTGATTCTATGTTGTTTCTCATTTGTGGAGCTCATTTCATGGACCACAAATATGTAAATACATTTATTTTACTCAATGGACACTTACCTGAAAGTGTGTTTTTAATTCATGAGTCAACAAGACACGGCAACGTGACTACAGAAATGAAAACTGATGGTTGTTGCACCCTGAAGATGAGCAGTAATAGAAGTAAAGAATGACAGGCTCAGGAACATGGGGGAGGTGACATCTAGCAAAGGTCAGCCTGCACAGTGGGAAGCATGATGGATGCATGCTCAGAGGATCCACCAAAGTCAAATGACCTTTATTGCAATCAACACTTTCACTTGAGGGGCATTTTGACACTAGACAAACAATCAATCACACCAACACTTCACATCATCTCAGAAGGACAGGAGAAATCTGTCAGCATTAAAAAGGAGACAACTGGCTTTAGTGAATAAATGTGTTGTATCATATACTGACAAGCAAATAACAGAATGTCATAGTGTAGCATGGAGGAAGATGCCCCTCGGGGTAAGATGCCCACCCACATGTAACTCCACCTGTGACAACCAAATATCAGCAAAGCTGATACAAAATTTGAGCCCAAAGTTTTTGTGTTGCCAATGTGCCCAAACAACCGCTGTTTTTAAATATTCATTTTACCAGTTTCTGTTGCTGAACTCTGCTCAATATAAGATTTTGAGGTAACGTGATCCAATTTTTCCTTCTTAGAATTTAAGGTTGTGTATGTTTTGGCAAAGGCAAACAGAAAAACACACGATTAATGCAATGAGGAGACTCATGGGCAGAGCTGGTATTTGTTTGGAACAAAATATAGAATGTACTTGTCTGCTATTTAATGATATATGGAAAAATTTACATCTGTTGGGGTTAAAATGGTCCCGGGGGCATCTTTCCCCTCAGTACTTTTTCCTTTCAGTTCAATAGGAATGTGTGTCCCAACTTTTGACTGGTACTTTATATTGCTATTTTCATAAACAAAAAGGTGCCAAATGATATAACCTTTGTCAAAAACAGAGATTACATTTTATTTCACTAAGAAGACAAAATCATTGAATGTTCACAAGTAGTGCTACTTGTGAGCTTAGCCATAGGCCTAATAGCTAAACAAAAAGATCAGAAACAATGCAATTTAGTAACAGCCCTCTTTAGGATGTAGAAATTGTGACAGAATGACAAATCGTGTATGACACACTTAAAGCTGTGCCAGCAGAATGGTGCGTTAAAGGAAAAAGTAGCCTAATATTAGCTTATATAGTGAAAACCTCATGAAAGTAATGAAAAATGTGACATCAGATCAGTAGAGAACTGTCTAATTGACATAATAAAAACAAAACAAGCACGTCTATAACTAATTTTAGGGACATTTAATACTTTACCATTATAATAGCCATTAAACTGTGTTTGTTTATGCATGACCATGCTGTACATACTGAAGTCATATCTAAACACCTTTCAGTTTTTCAGTAAACAGACAATGTCCTTAAGGGGGCATCCTCCTCATGTTACCCCTATTCGTGGACTGTGCATCAGTTTTATTCATTTATGTTAAAGTTGTGTGTGTTCTGTATGATATTTGGAATTGAACTGTTTAAATATTTACTCTGCTACGATCTAAAAGTCTAAAATTCTGAGCTAATTTCACCTCACAAATCTCTGTGCCCTGTCTTCCCTACAGGCACATAATGATTCTGAATCCTTATGGACTTCAGTGCTGAAAGTGATTGAGTCCATTTCCTACCAGCCCCAACTTTCTGTACATTCACACAGTCTGAACATTACTGAAATGCTGAGCCAACCTGTGCTCGGAGCGATAAGGGAATTTTCCTGTGAGTCATAGGCACCTTCTCTCTGAAGGTTTGAGGAATGTAAAAGGAGAGCGGTGGGGCTGCAATATGCTGCGTCTCAGCACTTCTCTCCCAGCCCATTCATTTCAATGGCACCAGCATCTGTATTTAACCCTTCCAGCTGTTCCTCATGTTCTATCATTTGTCATCCTGACCATCTGGCCTGAGGTGCTGAGGTCAATTTACTTTCGTTCAATGAAACGAAACAGAATCTGCCCCGTGGCGGCCGTAACAATGACCTAACTGCGTCTGCAAGCTGAAGCAATTCCGTGGATTGAATAGATCATTCAGAATGGACTCAAACCAAACAGCAGGTTAAAGATGGCATGAAACGTACCACTGTGCCCTCCTTGCATTGCCTTTAATGTTTGCTCCTTGAGTTGGTCAGCCTCATGTTTCTTCCTCCTGTGCTCCTCTAGTTTGATCTGCAAGTCCTCAGCTACCTGCTGAAGATCTCGGAGCTGGGCCTGAAGAGAAAGAGATGCACACAACATCTAAGATCAGCATTACACGGCAAACATCCTAGCAGCCACTTGGTGGACACTTTCAAACCTATTAATTACAGGTACTGTATAGTACAGTCATGGTTTGTTAGTGCCATGCATTTCATGTACAATCTCGTTTGTTAAAAACACCAGTATTTCTTTTATCATGTATAGTCAGCAATTACAATGAAACAATGCAATTATTAAATTATTGACAAGAAGATAACTAATTTATAACTTCAAATATATTTAGATAATGTAGTTTCTGAATAGATGTCAGCAGGTTTTTAGGGCTGAACCTGTCTCTGTCCTTAACTTGTCTCTTTCACGAGCTTTCTTTATGCACCATTATACTGCATCTACCTCCAGACAGGAACTAGCCCATGTATTTACAAAAACCTGTGCAACAGCACTCCAGGCTGCACATCGGACTATTTAAAATCTCTTGCGTCAAGGTGTTGCTGTGACACCAAAACTGACAGCTCTTGACAACCAAGCATAACCTGTCATCACTGTATGGACCAATTAAAATGAAAGAGCAGTGACTCCGTGAGCGTGCGCGCGAGTGTGTTAAAATTGCCTTCCGATCTCTCCTCAGAGACTTTTATAATGCTGTGATGGATTCTGCCTGGGTCAGATAGGGATGACTACCTTTCTAGGCCATGCTGCTTGCTTCACCACCTTCAGTTTGCTGCAGTGATTTATGGGCTCCATTGTGAGTGTACAAGAACATATTTACTTGCAAGTAACACTCATAATATGTCAAAAATGTATCCACGGTGTTAAAATGCCATATATAACACCAAAAACTACCACACATATTATTCATGTTTTCAAAAAACTGCACCGGAAAATCTGACCTCTCTTATTGGGATGAGTGAAATGAGAGTTATTTGGTTTTAAAAGATCAAGGAATGTTGATTTCACACACAGCATTTGAGTCTTACCCCCTACTGTGTAACTATTTGGACCACAAAGCACATTGTTTCTCTGAAAGCCACACCAAAAAAAAATTTTCAGACAAAGCTACTGTACAGTATATTAGGTCCAGAAAAAACATGTTTAAAAGGATTAAGGAGTAGCAAATGCTACACACCATTTCCTGCTGTAAAATGTACACTTAGAGTGGGCCAGTCAACAGAAAGATAATCACCAAACTCCCCAAAGAGGAATTTATTGAACACTAATTTGTATTCAATTAAAAGCAGCATTACTGTTACTGGTTCTAGTGCCTGCTGTGCTGACATGCTACACTCGGCTTTCGCGGCGTACAGTAAATGCTTCTAATTTGATTAAAAAGTTTTGTGTGTGCCATTTCTTAAACAGCAGATTCTTCTACAACCCCTGAACCACGGGAAGAGTTTGCTTTTTAGTCACTGTAAAAGGTTTCCGAGACGAGGCCCCTGCGGTAACCCTGCCATATCAACAGAGACCCGCTGAGAGGAGAGGATCACAATGCGCGGCGGGGCTCAAAGGGCTGGGTGACACTTCAGCCTCGATCTGCCAATCAGCCCGCACAGAAAAGAACATGGGGGAAAAAAGAGAACAGAAAAGCAGAGTGCGCTGTACAGACTCAGAGACAGTCAGCTGGCAAATCAGAAATGTGTAAGAGTGCATGTGTGTGACAAAAAGCGGCCTTCGGGAAAAATCACTGTCAAATAAGTTGTATCTTTTCAATTGTATCTTTCATTGTGAGCAATGCATGTTTTAAACAAACCTGACACTCTTGAACACATTTTTAACGGCTGTAAAGTGCTTTGGAATACCTTGAATTTAAGTAATTTCTCGCATAATCAATACACACAATAGCACAAGGATTTAAAGGAGCCCTGAGAAAGTCACAGAACTGTGAAGTGTGCTGCAGTAACATTAATGAGTCCTTCACAACCTCAAAAAGGATTTTAAAATAACCACAGCTACATCTTGAACAACACTCTGGTCTTACAATTTTCATTTTTCTATTAACAATGCACTAAAAAAAGGGAAATGAACCTGCCATGTGCAGTATGTGAGCCAGACTTGACCATGTAAACGTGATGAGAGGGCAACTTTGATTACCTAAAGCACAAATGCATTAAGTAACTAGCGAACCAGTAAATGTATCGTACAAACATCTAAAGAGATCCTCAGATGGAAAATGTACCCATTTAATTTGCACCAAGCTGCAGGACTCTCCTTTCTAAATTGGCCAAGTGCTTGCAAAGGAGCCTGTTGATTCAAAATTAGGCTTGATCACTCAGGTACTTATTTACTTGTGCTGAGTTACCCCCAACTATTCCCTCCTTGTTACTTTAGAGTGATTGCAAATGAAGCATAGTCACACATAAAAATCCTTAAAGACATACAACAGAATGCTAAGTTTGTGGCAGGAAATAAATATGATGCGTTGCAGGTGATGGTATAAATGAGGGGGACAGTGGAAAAGAATCTGACAGTTCTCAGAGCTACATAGCAGCAAAGATCTAACTGCAGCAGACTCCTGCAGCACCAGGTGCCATGTGCATGTACAGCCAAAACAATACCACAAAACACAACAGCTCGATTAGAGCAGGAATTCTCAGAGCGTAACACATATAAAAAGCAAATTAACCTCATGTCCCTGTCAATCAAGTGTGCTAGCTGATGATTCGGGTAATAAAACTACAGTTACCGAGTGGCAGCGCAGGTAGCCAAGGTGGAAGGTTAATTAAATCTATTGAGGATAACCAAGACAATATCTACACACAACAGCTACACACTGGTACATTTTGATGATAATTGCAGGGCCATTCTTGCATGATTTGGCTACTGACAATAATAAAACAACAATAAAAACAACTCAGTCCCCTGGCCAGATTCAAACCGAATACGCCACTGCGACAGGTGCTGAAAACCAAATAACACACTGCAGAACCCAATGCGCACAGCCGTGCACCAGGAGCCTTACAGTAATTTGCAAAATACTGCATGAGTCTGTGCTACCGGTCACTGTACATTCAACAAACTGACTGCAATGGTCACAAATGAGAGACAAGACTTTTTATGCAGGCTACAGAACACGCTGCATTCAGTGTGGAAGCAAATACCGCGGGTTAGTCGTGCTAGTGGTGTGGCTGTCTCTCAAAATATCTCCACAACCCCTAGTGAACTGGCACAACATTGTGTACAGACATTAATGTTTCCCAGACTGAACATGGTAAACATGTTTACCACCTGATGTTTATACATCAGCATGTTAGTGCTGTAAATGTGCACATGTCAGCACGCTGATGTTAAGCTCCAAGCACCACTGTGCCCAGGTACAGCCTGACAAAACAAAACCTAAGTGTGATTACACCACACCTCTTGTCTGACAAACCCCACAGTCACAGAGAGTGAAGGGACACTGAAGGGAGTAAAGATTTGATCATTTAAAGCAGATCCAGGTCTGTTTTTTTTAAGCTATGTGTGTAAAATGATCCACAGAATCCACCAAAACAATATATATTATATATATATATATTATATATTGATGAAACAGTTAACACATGATGAATAGTCAAGCTGGCCACATCGGCTCTCTATCATTTCATTATCAGGGAATTAAAGAGCTATAAAACCTCAAAATCACTGCAGATTAAGGGATCATCAGAACAGTACAACAGGCCAGATTGCACCTGAAATTACAAGGCCTTGCACTTTATTTTGTAATTTGGAAACTCACTCAGTTTATCATAAAATATATGTCACCGTTTTGTCACAAAGTAAATTTAACCATTTGTTTGCATGTTTTTAGAAACACAAATCAGTTCCCCAGTATTTTCACTGTAGTATTATTTAATACTTGAACTTTAATTCAGCTTCTATTAAACTGTACTTACAGTACAGTTTCTCCCTTGCCCAACAATTTGACATAACCTCTTTTCTCTTGATCTAGGAATTAAGTTGAAATATATAGGCCACCACAGACTATGTATAGACTGCTTAATGAATACAGTATAGTGCATGTTTTGTGCACGTCAAACAGCACAGTCTGAAACGCAGTCAGAAACTTGAGAAAAGTTACTGGTGTTCCCACAGCATGAGCAGGATAAAGCTCAAACCCAGGTGACTGTCCTCTGTTACTACTGCATGCCATACAGAAGTAATTACTTCAGCATAATACGGTGTACCTGTTTCTCCCTCCAGAGCAGCACTCCCTCCTCAATCAGCTGCTGCTTGAGTCGCAAACCTTCGTCTAAGGTCCTCATCTGGCCCTCCACGTATGCTCTCTCTCTCTGTCCCAGATTCCTGGAGAAGAGCCGGGAGAGAGAGGACGCACATTCCCATCATTACTGAGAAAACATCAGCCACCCCTGCTACGGTCACTGAGATGGCAAAATCCAATTTTTAAGGGCCCACAATGCAGCAGGAACCCAAATGGGAAAATAGAAAAATAAATAAGACGGGGGCTGATGCGCTGTGGCTGAGCTAAATTGTTTTTGAAGTCTGGCAAACACAATACGAGTGTGGACCTTGTGGAGACCTAATGAGATATGCTCTGCTTGTATGTGGTTTTGAGGCAAAATGGCAGTGAATGGAATAATGGAGGACTGTCAACAACAGAAGTGGGTTACTGTATTAGAAGTTACATTTACACAGCAGGCTACATTTCAGCATCATGCATATACATTACAAGAGAAAGTCTGAACGACACCACGCTTTTAAAACATAGTGACACCATGCCCTCTGGTGGCACAATGAATGAGTCACTATAGCATGGGTGCAGCACACCGTAGTCAATATGACAAACAGCCATACATGTGAAAGACAAACTGGATAAAAGAAAAGCTGCATTTGTAGCAAATGTGTCAAACTAATGACTGATTTCCCAAATAAAATGAACATTGTGATTATTTATATCTTTAGCTATGCATGGGCCTCTAATGACATATTTTCAGTTGAATTCTGCATGTGTTATTTTATAAATATTGAATCTCAGTCTTCAACTGACCAGCAAGTGTTCTGGCAGTGAACATGGCTGTTGTATTCATCTGAAGCATCGCAGCAATCTGGCGAGAGACAGAGGAGAAACCAATCCAATGCACAAACAAGACATGAGAAGAGCATTCAGCAAATCATCATAGGGAGATCAGAACATAATTTGGCTATAAAAACAGACAGAATACACAATAAAACACAATCAGCAACTATAAATTGCTTATTTTCAGGTACTTTTTGGAGCATATCATCCAAGTCAAGAAGTAATGACTTGTTTTTTTTCAGGCAAAACCCCAAACATTCACTGATTCTAGGTGCCTTAAATGTGAGTATTTGCTGATTTTCTTTCTCATATATGGTAGCTAACTGACTATTTTCGGGTTCTTGACCGTTAGTTGGAGAAAACAAGATATATGAAGATGTTCTGTGAAAAATTCATAGAAAAAATGATTAAGTGGGAAAGCAACCGGCAGATCAAAGCAGACATTTTGGTAAAAATGCGTATTCACTTTCTTGCAGAGAGTCAGATGTCTGTACTGCAAATATGAAGCTACCTATACAAGTTGTTTTACACTAATAAAACCATGAATGTGTGCACTCTTTTCTTCAAATAAAGTTGATCTAGGCAATGATTTTTCATCCCCCGAGACAAAAATCAGACCTTTGTGTTGGCACAATATCTTTCTCTCTGGTTCAGAGAGCGTCTCTTGACATCAGCCACTTTGTAAGAACAGCTACATGGTGGTTTGATAGTGCTCAGATCTGGCTTTTGCTCAGATGTTTCACCCAAGAGAGTAGGCACAGTGTGAAGCTTCTCAATTATCTAGAACCCCATCGGTGGCCAGTGGAATAAGAGCATTACAGCCCTGAAAATGAAGCCAATGAGAATCTTTCAACAACCAGCTGAAGAGGAAAAGCGACATGGTGGTGACTATTAAACGGCTCCATTTAAGGCAGGTATGAGAAGAAGTGGGAGTAGATGAGGAGGAGAGAGAGAAGACAAAAGGAGGCATAGAGAAACATTCTCCTACTGCTCTTTCATTCTTCATACCTTCAATTATTTTACCCGCTACGGTTGAATGCCATCTAATGCTGCTGAAAGCGCTGATGCAAGAAAGGAAATGTCGACCAAAGTGAAGAGTATAGCTGATTTTACAAGAAAGCACGGCCTTGAAGAGAAGAAGAGGATGTTTTTCAAGGAAAGCTGAGTGTGTACACATCGTGTGTGTTAGAGAGCCATGCTTGTTGTACATCATCTGTTTCTTTGTACAACAAAAAGTTGTAACAGCGTGTGCTCCAAAATGTCAGCTTCTTTACCACATGTAAATATGAACTCCTGTCCATGTCTGAAAAAAAACACACAAATAGTTTAACCCACTGAAATGAGGACTTGAACCTATTTTGATTCCAAGCGCTGCCTTAACAAATTTTTAAGATGTGTAGAAATTATATGCATCAAAACATTTCACTAGCTGGATTTCATTTCTGCAAGAATAAATCAAGTGGCAGCGCTGCCCTGGTTGTCCTTGAAAAGTGCTGAAGCAGAAAATATTGTTAATTCATTGCCCCATTTTAAAAAATTCTGGAAAGTTTATTAAAGTCACCTCTCAGTAGAGTATTATTTCTTCCACCCTGAACTATATAATGCAGTAAAAAAAATAAAATAAAATAAAAAAGCCTTACCACAGATGCCATCATTGACTCGTGATGACGGAATGTAGTGTGGGCGAAAACCCAGATTGGTGCAGTAGAATCGGCCGCGAGGACAGGCTGAGGTGCCTATGTGGTGTCAGGAGCAGAGGGCAGCAGCGCATAATCAAACTTTCAGAAATAAATCAATCTAATGAGAACTATTTATAGTTCACAGGATTTACAGAAGCTATAACACATCCAGTTACTGATGTAATGTACAGTGCAGTAAGTCCCTTTTCAGCGAGCGTTTATAAAGATGCTTCCTTTTGTTTTAAGAGTCAAAAATGACTGTGCCTCGCGCCTGTGTTCACCAGTAGCAAATCTCTAAAGCTGGTCTAGTAACAGAAAGTATCTCACTGTTAGAAATGAGCCACCCTTTGCCTGAACTGCAAACTATGAAACAGCATAACAATAGCATAACAGTATTACAGGCAGATCATGTGTGTTGGCAGCAAAGTACAGCAGAAAAATATTTGCATAAACACTGAGCACAGACTATTAACCTATACTGTCATGTAGAAACTGAGTCAACCACCTCCCACTGCAATTTCCAGTAAAGCATCTACTCCTACAGTTAGACCTCTCAAAAGTCAATCTGACTGCCGAACCATCACCTGATTTAAATTGACTGGTTGGACAATACCTGGTTATGTAAAGCAAAGCCATACAATATTAAGTCAAGTCAAACATTGTCCCACAAACAGGAAAGTGTAGTGTGCAGTAAGACTGCACAGGACACGTGGTGATTCTAATTGGCTGACATACACAAACATACACAAGCTAAAGTATCACCTGTATTGTCCCACAGACAGGAATGTGTAGTGTGCAGTAACACTGCACAGGACACATGGTGATTCTAATTGGCTGACATTTGTAAACATACACAAGCTAAAGTATCACCTGGTTCATCTGAGCCATCTTCACAGTCACAGTAGTCATCATTCACTCGCTCAAACAGGATCATTTTAGACCCATCAATGCACAGGAAGGACTTCCTCTCCTTGTAGAACCGCTTATCTGTTACAGAATAAAGGGGACAACCTTTTGTACCTGTACCAAAATTAAAGTTGGGTGCTTACGTCCAATGTCGGTGAAGACATTTTAATGGAATTGTTAAAATGAACAGGCTTGGTAGGGTAAGATGCCCCCTTTATGAACACTGTGTGCTGAAAAACTGCTAAGGGATTGGATATGAATTCAATATGTACAGCATGGTCATGCATAAACAAGGCTGTTAAATGTCGTTTTTATACAACTGTTTTAAAAATCATGTAATAATGTAATGATGTAAAATTGGGGGCCTCTTGCACCATATGTAATTTTTCAGGTTAAATAATAAACAAGTCCATTTTATGTTTTGTTCCAAACAAATAACCCTGCCCAGCTCTCCACATGAATCTCCTCGTTGTATTAGCAGTGATGTTTTGTGTCTGCCTTTGTCATAACACACAAAACCTTATAGTCTAACAGTTAAGGGGAAAAAATTGATCAAGTCACCTCAAAATTTCTGCTGTGCAGAAGTTAGTAACAGAAAATGGTCAAATTAAGATGGCCTTGTGGGCACAAATATAACACAAAACGTTAGCTTTGTGTTATTTGATGGCCACAGGTGGAGTTAGCCAACAATACACTGTATGTGGATGAGCATCTTACCCCACTATTGCTAACATTACCACCCTGGAAATAAACTTGAAATGCGGTGTACAGTTGTTAGAAACTATCTGCAACGATGACCGTTTCATAAAAACTTGTCTGTTTCGAAGCTAAAGACCTGTTAAAGCTGCATCACGTTACACCGTGCATTTTATTCACAAAATAGGACGACAGAAAGTAGCGCTAGCTGATAGCTAGAAGGCGTCTGTGAACTTACATGACGAGGATATTCCTCTTATTTTCCGTAGGTCCACGAAACCACAACAAAACACCGCGACTAATATAATTTGGAAACGCATGTTAACCTTCTATTTCCCGCCACACGATAACACACTCAAGAGTGTTTCACATTCATGATATAAATCCAACTTCCAACTGGTCGTGTCACGACTTCCTAAAACAAAGTCATGTGACATATCTGAGGCTTTCTATTTGTTTTAATCTGCGCCCCCATGTGATTTCTTCGACCAATCACGAACGAGAAGGGCTTCAGAGACTTATTCACACTTTCATTGAGGCAGTCTATACGTTCAGAATAAGAAGTAGTCTGATTGGGTACTTTGTATGTTTTTTAAAATTATTTTACAACAAATATCTTTCTTGTTTTCTAGTCTATGCATTTAGGCTTACCCCATCTTGGACAGGAACATCTCACTAGCACAGCAGGTTGTGGGACACTCTCAGCCAGATAAATGGGCAGAGAATTTCCCTTGCAACCAGATTTATGGCGACTGAATACTTACCATGTAGTATAAAAGCCTTCCCTAAGTCACTCTCACGGACTCTGACATTTCGACTCATATTCGTCACTAATTGAAACACATTTCAGTACCATGGCGTTCTAATGTTTAATTCTCATAGTTAAAAACTGTGTGATTGAAAATACAAAAATGGGTCATAAAAAATCTGTAGACACTCAACACATGGGTGTATACCCTTCTTCCCAATGGGGGTATATTCACTGTGACACACAATTAATTAACAAGGCACAGTTTGTTAGGCTGACAAGGATTTCTCTTTACATGTCTGAAGAAGAAAACGTTTGCAGAAACACACCTGGCACATTTACATATATTTATACTTTTCATTTATCCCATATGATAGATAGATAGATAGATAGATAGATAGATAGATAGATAGATAGATAGATAGATAAATAGACTACTGGCGCACAATTATGAACACAAGAACACCCTTGGATAACTTTATTAAAAATAATGAATATTTACAAAATGTACACTATATAAACAAGTCTATAAAGGAAAATGCCAGAATGCAACACTTTAACCGGATCTGAGTCACGTGAAAAGCGATTTAAAGGCAAATCTGAAAACCAAATTAGAGTATCATTACCTAAAGAAATATCATTTTTCATGTATCGATTTTTAATTTGTCATTTCTCATTGTTGAGTCGTGTGTAAAGGCCTGTATTGCACAATGACGCTTTGCTCTGAAGGTAAGAAAGGTCATGGATCATGCCAGAAAAGGAATACGACTCCAAAGGTGGACGCACTGGAAATACTGGCATCAGTCCGGATGTCATGTATGGTGACATAAAACCTGTTACACCACCGTTTGCAGAGGAGTAGGCCAGCCGTAAGGGGCTGACACCGAGGCGAGGGCCGAGCCCGTACAGGCTGTCCCCCTCGGCGGCCGTCGGCGGTATGTGGAATGGAGAGAAGGCTGACTTGTTTCCAAGAGCACCCCGCGTTGCAGGCAACCCCAGTGAAGGCCTGGGCGTGTTTGGGTGGTTAGACACAGACAAGCTTTCAGAGTCGCTCTTGTTCTCTTTGGAGCTCAGCACCAGCTCAATGGATTTCACTATGTCACCTTTGCAAGTTCTCACCATGGCCTCCAGGGTGTCCCGTTTTTGATGGGGGAAGATCTTGGCCATGATGTGAGTGGGGTCCCGGTCCATGCTCCGGTGGTCCTTGGGTTTTTCCGACTCGCTTCCTGACTCCTGGTCTGAGGAGGAAAGCGACCTTCGCGGACTCTCTGTGTGGTCTGAGCGCTGATCGAACACCGGGGATGGACTTGTGCTCAGATCAGCAAATGAAGTGGTGTTGTCCTTGCTTGGAGACAACTTGTCACTCGGAGGGGACAGCCGTGTGGTGTGGGGTACAAAGAGGGGTCGAGCCATGAATCCGTTATAAAAGTTGTATTTGCCTAATTTGTCATCTGAAATATGGATAAAAGAAAAATAGGCGGTTTAAAAACATGATTATGCCTGCATCCAAACTGTGCGTAAAACAGGCTACATAAAACAATGCAACTTTTACCATAAAAAACGTTTAATTTGTGTTGCAACTTGAATTTAACCAAAACTGCAAATAAACCGAATAGTAATATATAACTATGCACAACAAATGGTTGAATTCCTTAAGATTTTTCGACATGAAAAATGCTCTCAGTATTTCAGCTTACCATCTTTTTGGTTCTCTGTTCCAAAAACGTCAAAACTGGGAGCTGTTGGAGCGTTGCTGATAGTCGTTGGTACCGGGGAGCCTATAGGCGACCTGTGGGCGATCCCTGCTTCCCCACCGATCCCTGAGCCAGGGTACAACAGCCGGAGCTCCCGGGCCTCGCTCTCCTCCTGAGCCTGCTGCCTTCTCAGGGCCACCTGCGCGGCCATCACGCGCTGCCTCTCCGCTATTAGAGTGCACTTTGCGCACACGCAGTCTCTCCAACGGCAAAAGCGTTTGTGGCCTTTCAGTGCGGAAACCACACCGTGGTTCCTACATCTGGCGCATTTCGGGGTGCGGGGGTATCCCCTCTCCAACGTGGAGTTACAGGCACGGAGGAAGAGAGGTGGAGGGCGCAGGAAGGAAGGAGGCACCTGCAAACCACCGAGCGGGTTGGCGGTGTGCCCGGCGAGGCCAAGCGGGGTAATCCTGCTGTCCATTGCCCGAGGGGATGCAAATACAGTTTTACAAGTGTAGTCATTCAAATGATGCGGTCCTCTCTGCGTGACTGGCGCCTCTGCTGCCGCTGGCACCCTGACCCAGCGCGCCTTAAGTGTCTCCTCTCCAGGTGGTTGGGCATGAAATACAACACCTCCGCCACACCCCTTTCCGCTCTTGCCTCTTAATACCCTATCATGTTTATTTGTGTCCTGCATAAATAGCGGTCTAATCTGATGCAACTGAACCTACAGTATATGCAGCTGTAATTTAAGGGAGGCCCGCCAAAACCAGACTTTGTATAAACGATGACTGCCCTTTTAGAAATTGCTGCCGGTGGAAATTAGATTCAAATTTGCATTGCTTAAAGACTTGCTATGATCTAATGTGCACTACAGTCAAAACTGTGGATTTGTTGAATTAGTTGTTAACAAAAAGAAAAAATATCATGTTGCCTCAGCTACATACATTGACCCCTTTGGCTGCTCTACTAAGCACTGTGTAGCATGTTTTTAACACAACAATGGCCTTAATAGCCACAAAAGCAACAGATAATTATCTACTTGGTTTTTCTGTTGAACAAATTACCTTGACAAAAGACCCATCTGCCCACAAACACCAGACTGCAGGATAACTAGTCACACCTTGTCACATGTTTCATTCATTTCTCTCCATTCAAACAGGATTCAGTTACAATCCCCAGATTACCTTACTGTTAATACATGAAAAACAACATAATGTGACAAACATAATGAGCATAATGTGACAAACACAGTCGGGAAACACATAACCTATCTAAGACAATGCCATCCAACCATTAATACATGCACACTGGCTTCCTTAATGCTTTTCTTCATTCATGGCAAAGGATAATGCATGTACTTATTTTTTAACCACATGGCCCTGCAGTAAATATTAGAAACAACCACAAACAATAAATGCAACTAGCGTAAGGTGTTACACTTACTCTACAAATGCACACAATATATGCCTGCACTTGTTTGACCTGCTATAAACAAGCACTAAAATGATAAATAAAATGTAATAATGATAGCATCCCAATCATCTATAGATGTAAGAGCAACTGGATTCTTCTGGTCTCCCAGTGGTTCTTACTCCACTAGACTCCCTCTGAATAATGGATGCAGGTTAAAGAGGCTGTGGATGGAAGCACTCAACCATCTAGTGGCATTTTACTGAGATAATGATTCCCTGAAGGGCATCTCTGAGGAAGATCTGCCACAGCAGAAACCAGGAATATTGCTTAAATACAATACACACTTATTTGATGGGGACAGAGTGTAGCTATTATTAGTCACTAATATTACAACTTAACACACTTAGAGATTGGCAGGTGTTTCAACATGTCCATAAAACATTACTGCTCTTGAAACCAAAACTTATGAGTGACTGATGCTACTTTTCCAACCTCTTCTTTGTGCAGATTTCTGCTTAATCATGGCCCTTATCAGAAGCATACTGTACCTCTCTTCTTTGCAGTGTGTAATATGCACACAAGCAATCAATTATGTACATATGTAAAGCACAAACACATGGTGTGCAACATTAAAATATGTGGTTTTGCACAATATGTTTTTGTGTGTGTGTGTGTGTGTGTGTGTGTAATGACTTGTAGAGGAAGATTCTTTGAGATGCAAGTCTACCATTTGTAGAAAGATGGACCAGAAGTTATGGGCCTCAGGGGTTTAGTTACTCCAGCTGTGCAGGATATTAAAGATAATCTGAAATGCATCTATCAGCACAAAGTGTGTATGCTAAAAACATAAATAAATGCCAGTGATGCAAATGCTGTGTGGGTGCACATGCAGTTTTTATCATATCATCCACTGTGAAATGGAATTTGAGGTTTAGATTTGTGGCTGGCAAGTTGATCCTGGCACATGAAGCTGCTCTCACACATAGACCACTTATGATGTTTATATGGACCAGTTACAGCCTTTTCTAGCAGGACAGCATCATGATATAAAAGTGTGTTTCACTGTATATTGAGCTTTTGGAAAAGCTCAAATTTATTATTTTCTGATAATCCAGATGTATGAAAGGAGACTAAAAAAAGCTCTTTTGGAAAAGCTTTCATAAACTGGATTACAAATAAAAGCTGTAGTGTTATATTTGTTCATGTACTACCTCTTCTGTTTGTCTCTGGATCACAGAAGGCCAAGCCAGGCTAGAAATTTAAAGTGCCTTCAATCCATATCAGTTTCACTTGGAGGAAAAGTATTTTCTCAACTAGTTTGTGAGAGTCTACCATTTGATCCAAATCTAACATAAAGGACAACAAGTACACACATCAATTTTTAGACAACCTTAGTTCAGTTCCACAGTTTGCAGGGAAGATCTGGTTTTAGTCAGAATTTACCAACCTCACCCCAACACAGAATGAAGGGATTAGCAGGGACAAGTGCCATTAGAGAAGATAGAGCTAGACAGTGTCTTAATTGTGTTCCTGGCAGATCTGCTCATGTCAGATATGGTGTTTCATCACAGCCATGTACCTCCTAGGACAGGGCTTTATCGGCCCAGCTTCTTATCTGAAGCAAGGTGGCTGCTAATCTACTCACAAATCTCACTAAACCTGATTATGTCTCCCACTGTCAGTGAGATGAAAAGGAGGAGGGAGGGGGAAGAGAGGTAAGGAGGTGAGGTTGAGAGGAAGAGAAGCTCATCATTAAACAGTAAATCTTCTGGACAAATGGGTTTTCTAATATATTGTTCCAAGGCAGTATACATTCTGATTACATATCATGAAATATTGTACAGTTTTTCCAAACAGCTCTAAATCCCATTTGGATTATTTTGATCTTGGCATGCAGTTCCAGGTTTTCTGATACAATAAATCAGATCATGTTATTGTTACTAACTCTGAATCAGATGCGTAAGAACTCATCATGTGATAAAACTTTGAAACAGAAACATTTCAGCACCTTAAAGCTCCTCTACTTTATTTCTTTTCAGCCTAGCGGGTCTACTGAAACTCAAAACAAAATGACACCATAATCTGCTCTCTGCGCCTCCCATCACACGCTGTTTCTAACTGATGTAAACTGCACATGCCTGATTGTGACAAACGGCACAAAAGGTAAACTCCAGTCTGAAGCTAGTGTTAGACTAATGCCCAGGTCAGAATACATGATTTAAGCCTGATAGGACTGTCATAGGGCATCAGAACCGACAAACAGCATAGGACATGACAATCACTTGTTTTACTCGTATATTTTGTCATAATAAATGACAACCGGTGCTGCGTCTGGGACGTCTCACAACATCCCGACACAAAGTCTAGCAGGTCAGAACTTTTTTCAACATCTACAACATGGTGGTGCAAAGCTGACCAATAGTAGCACACATGGCTCGTCTGTTCACAACATTTTTGGTATATTTCACTGAACCATATTCATTAAATGTCACAGTGAAACAGCTAACATTAGCACAGTGACTTTCACTGTCAGCCTTGTGAAGTAGCTACACTACAGGGCTAACTAAATAGTTTTTGGTTTTACTACCAGCTTAAAACACTTATTTTTAATTGCTACCTGAAGTTCTCCATGAAGGATAGACAACGCACTGTTCCCCCGCCTTTTTAATGCTTTTCCAAAGCAAGTAATACACACACTCTAATCCCAGGCCCTGGCACCTCGATGTCGTGAACAATGGCAGGCTGTGATCTGTCAAGTACCAGCGTGTAGTCTGTCATATCCCTTGTTCAAGATTGTATAACCATGTTATCTGGCATTTAGCTGCTGAGAGCTCCTCCATGGCTGGCTGCTATTCATAGTTTGAAAAACATTTCTTATAACCATGGCTAGGTGGCAGGCGGGGCTAATTTACAGTCCGTACTTTGACAACACAGGGCAGAGAAGCTGGAATAACAACAGAAGGTCTGCAGGCAGCAGAATTTCATGGAAGTATAGCAAGGAGACACCAAGTCTTGTCCTATTTTCACTGGATTTATCAGACAGTGTGTAAAATCTTAGCTAATGGACCTTTAACTTTGAGGAGAGTTTCACATAAAGCAGACAAGTTACAGCAGATTCTCCTCTCTTTGCGCAATCAAACAGTTTGACCTTTGTGTGTTTGCTTTCTCATTTGTCACTTCACACCCTTGTCACTGGGCCAAACAGTAGTTTCTACTTCACTGCTGATGGGTGAATGGCCACCAGGTTGCTTAAGTTGTTGTTATCAAGTGTACCACGCGTTCAATAAAAAGGTCATTTCATTTTTACAGCACTCTAACTTTCTCCCCACTGCTGTACTTTTATGTCGCTGATGCTTTTTATGAAAGAAAACACATTGTAAACTGATTTGTGTTCCATGTGACGTGTGTGGCCTCAGTGGAGTTCAACAAGCAGCTCTGCTTTCAAGATTGTTTCCTTTGTTTTTATTTTTGTGCCTGGGGATGTTGACTGTTGCAATGCTGTTGGACTTGGTTCCTCTGTTTACAACGCCTGGGGCATAAGTGCCCCCTTTGCCAGCATCCTATGAAAACATTCTCATACAGCTTTCTCTGAAGATCAGACTAGCAGCTTGCTTTGAGATGCAAGAGTTCTCACTGAAATATATAAGTGCTGAGTTTTGTTTCAGTCTTTGTTTCAATCTTCAATCGTTATGAGAAAGGTGACATTTAAAAACCACCATTGATAACACCAAAATAAAAGTTATAGTGGTGCTGGTGATGTAGTTTGCTAGCAGAGAAACTACTAACTTGATATTTAGCTCTGCCACCACTGCTGTTACAAAAATAATAATGCCTTTTTTGAGAAAATATGGATGAGTGAAAATTCAGCTCATATTGCACCTGAAGTTCTAATACCTGCATTACGTTTTCTATTCCAGAATGACATGGATGCAGAGAGGAGGGAGGCATCCATATTATACTTTTATACACACACCTGTGCATGTGAATGCA